GAGTGGAGGATGCTTGTCATGGGCACCTAGAAAATGGGTATGCAATTAATGATCGCTCACGCAAAGCGCCCCTTGCAAAGGGGATGCTGTGCTACGGTAGGGGTAGAACCCCGTTCTCCATGGTCCCTCGCCACTGCATTAATTGTCAGACCATTCTTGCCACTCTCTGATACCCATCCTCTACCTGCTGTGACAAATGAAGTCCTGTGAACAACGGCCTCATTTTCTGTGCAGTTCCAATTCACGCTCAGCACAGATCCTCTCCATGCACTGTCGAGTGAGAATCCTGTTGAACAAATCACGGGCGTTTTTTATAAAAAAAGTATGAGATTGCACAAAAACCTTCTTATACTGTATATAATAGGTAAATTGCCCCAGTCAAGCAACTAACTGGCTTTGTATGGAGTACCTGTGTGAAGTATCACTTGTATTAGGTGATAGCTTCGACTGATGTTTTCTCCTAGTCTTGAAATCTTCAGTATTTCCTAGCCAAGCCAGTAAGCCCAATATTTTTTGAAATATAGTTCTGAAGAAATGTCATATTCTCCTTTTTTTTTTAAGTGTTTTTTTTCCCCAAGTTTCACAGCTTTTCAGTGACTGCGAGATATTAAAATTTACAACCCAGACTTTCCGTAGTTGAACTACTACAGTAAATGAAACAGTCACAGGATGTATAACATGAATAACATCCTGTTATTGTTTCATGTGCTCTGTTAGGTAGTGGGTTTTTGTACTCTTGTTAGGTAGTGGTTTCTTGTACTCTTCTTTTTCCTGTTCCTTCTTCCTGACTCCAGCCTACTCCCTCCGTTTTGTGCCTATCGTGTGCCATCTTGTGTCCTAAATCCACCAGTGACAGCAACAACGAAAGGACCAGGGTGTATATGAGTAGTCAAGGCACTAACTACTTATCCATGAAGATGTAGTACAATACAGTGCTATGAAGTATTAATCTCCAAAATCAGAGTGTCGGGGCAACCCATGCTGCTAGCATGACTTGTCTTTAAGCACTCCTTATGCAGTTATAAACAGCTGAGAATATTTTGACAAGCGTTGGAGCACATTCACGCTAGGTGGAGCTGATCTGGCCTGATTTAATAAATACTGTCAGCTCCTGCCACCCCCTCCTTGGCTGAGCTGTAGTCAGGTGATGGTCCCTTTCAGCCTTCATGGGGAAGTATGCCTTGAGCTGAAGATAGTGGGAGTTATATGAAGTGATGTCTTTGTTCTAGCCTTCATTTAGGAAGGAAATTTTATGTGTAGGGTTGCTGTGAGTTAGTCCATAAAGACATTGACTATAATTGACAAACTGGTGGTCAGGTTTGCTGGGGAGGCTGTGGGCTGACGCCTAACACGAGGCACATTTGGAGCATTTGGTGCCCATAGGTCACGCTGTACAATGTAGAGCTGTTGGGAAGTCTCCTGTTCGTCCGTTGGCAGAGGCAGGTGTGCAGGAGTGTGCAGAGACGCTGTTGTATCTGCCAGCGATACAACCTTGGTGTCTCGGATGAGTGGCTGGGGAACCGCCAGAGCCCAAACTCCTGCTGCTGTGAGCCAGTGCATCTGAGCTGTGCTGAAAAGGCTGTTGGTGATGTAAACCAATGAAAGCATGACTGAGCTAGGTGAACCTGTCCTAGGGCACGACATGCTATTCCTTTGGGCACCTTTTGATTTACAGAACTGTTTGGCGTGGTATCGGGCATGCCAGTGGCTGCAGCGCTCTGAATATCAAACACAAATGTTACCACTTGCACGTGCGCTGGCTGTAGGGCTACAGGTTTCCTACTGGGACTTGCCTTTCTATGGGGACTGTTCACTGTAGGATCATAGAATCATGGAATCGTTAAGGTTGGAAAAGACTTCTAAGATCACCAAGTCAAACCGTCACCCCAACACCCCCATGCCTGCTAAACCACATCCCCAAGTGCCACATCCACACGGTGTTTGAACCCCTCCAGGGATGGGGACTCCCCCACTGCCCGGGGCAGCCTGGTCCAACGCCTGACCACTCTTTCAGTAAAGACATTTTTCCCAA